TTTTTTTTGGTCTAGAAAAAACATAGACTGGTGAACGTGATAAAATTCGGAAACACAAAAATTAAATGATTAAAATTGTATAGTTTACGGTCAAGGTGCAACATGCATGCATTCCGTGAAACGAATTTTGCAGCCGACTATTTGGCTTCCTTCGTTGCATAAGGATCATTGGGATATCGCTTCTCTCATGATCCACCACATGGGTACGATCGTGGTTGTACCATGATCTTAGTGGAGTTTCATACTCGAGAAACGTGTGCCGGTATTCCGTAACGTAAAGTGTTAGACTCTTTTTTTGTACCCAAAAAAAAAATTGTATATTTTACTTTTAGCATGATCATGTATAACCCTTCTTGTATATATATGAATAATATATAGGAAAAATTATGCAATTAAAAAAAAAAAAGGGTAGAATACAAATTCTAATCCATTAAAATCAAACATACTCATTTACAAATTGTTGGTTGTACTAGGAATTTATATTCTGCAAATTGGTTGAAGTTGAATGAACAAGAAAAGGCCACATGAGATGCTATGCGAATTGCCATTTTTTATTCTCTGATGAATCAAAGAGGTGATAAGGTCCATATGCATCCACTTGTGTTCTTCAAAACCAAGCATACAACTATTATATATTATTATTATTATTATTATTATTATTATTATTATTATTATTATTATTATTATTATTATTATTATTATTATTATTATTATTCATCACATGATGACATACCCATACCATGCAAGCATTATTGTTAATTAATTAGGAGCTCAGTTCGTTACATTAGCTCGTGATTATTTCTTTTTTCTATATATATTTATATATATTTTAATAAGGAATTATCAATGATCCCCGTGAGGGAACATCTTTTAATATTAATGCGAGACTTATCCGATGCACGAATAGAGGTAAAGTTGTATTTATAAATTTAATTAATAAATAACGTGAATTACAATTTGTAATATATTATTAAAAGTGTCATTAACTCATTATTTAATTATTACATGAAAAAAAAGCGTTGTCATATTGATGGCGAGGAGATCGCTTTGGCGTTCATGGACAAATACGATCGACGTCGAAATCGTGCATGAGTCTTGCATGAGATTTGTGACCTTTAGTATTATTATTATTATTACTATTATTATTATTTTGACTAAGTGATGAAATCTAGACTAAGCTTGAAAATCAAAGAGACATTCAAATATAGTTTGTCTTTAAAAACTAAGTATATTTATTAGGCACATCAAGAGGTACAAGAAGATTATCATATATATGAATGTAAGTCATATGAGAAAGTTGGTGATTATTGAATAAAAATTATATTGTC